CAGATAGTTGTCCCTTTCTAGTTCACAAACAGCGGCGGCAATGAAGAAAAGATTGGCACACCACTACAAAGTCTCCTCAGTTGAACAATATGTCCTGCCCTCACGAATTATTCCAGTTGTTACCCACAGTTTGCCTTTCTTTTCAATAACTTCTGCCATTTCCCATTTCATCGTTCCAGTAGCCTTGGATTTAACAGACCTGAAAAACAAAACACAAGAAAAATAAAACCATACTTGATTAATTGTGTTACGAATATATATATATATATATACGCCCAGAGAAACTAATTGCTTTCCACCAAAATCCTTTACCGAAACTGCAACTTGGCCATGGAACCAGCCAAAAAGTGATGTTCTTCTTCGTCGCTAGAGTCTTGCAAAACAACTTCATCATTGCTGTCCTCTCTTTCTAGAACATCCCCACACCTCACCATCCATAGATTAATTGCTGCAATTCTAAATAATTATCAAGTAGGCAACTGTGATGGAGTGAGGGAACAACAAAGGATGAGGAGAAACCGATGGCAGAAGTGGTTCAACGGAAGAAGATTTGGAGGACGGTGTGAACCACTCAGAGTTTGGGGTTCTATGGGGTGAACCAATGTTTTAAAACCCATACCAAATAATGAACAAGAAATGTCAGTGGGCCACAGGTCTCATATTCAAACTGGTTGGACCGGCAATTGAATCGATAACCTAATAATTATAAAAAATAATATTTATATGTATTATCTCTATATATATATATAAGAAATAAATATTTTGACAAAAAAAATCACAATATATCAAGTTACTCATACAACAAGCACCACCAATTCACATGTTCTAGCTGCCAGCACGATCACCACCACAATATGCAAAATTGTCAATACAAGTAATAAATCAATACAAAATCCATAATATTATAACTTATAAGTAATAATTTCATCATGGTCCAAAATTGGTGGATCTTCATAATCCAAGCATGGTTAGGCTCGAAAGCATCCACATTTGCACCGTAAAAAAAAAAAAAAAGGGCATTTAAAAGAGACAGAAAGAAACACAAGCACAACCATCAATCAGAACTGATGCTAGACTTAATGGGTATTCAAGCGTTGTTTTGATTTTCCAGTAATTTGAAAATCCAGCAACCCAAACAAGTACTTGATCCGTTGAAGTAAGACTTTTCAAAGGTGAAGGGACAAATCTGCATTTTCAAATTCGTTTCATCTAACCAATAACTCTTCTTCTTCCAGTTACGCTTTCACCTAAATATCATGAGTCAAAAAACATAACCAACAGCCAAAAGCAACTGATAAGAGAGTATAATAGAATACAAGCGAATACAACCAAATTCCAAAAATATGAATAACCAATCTACCTCCGCAACACCTACCAACTAACGGGGCAATCCAAGACCAGCAGAGAAACAGAAAGGAACTACAGACTACAGAGAGGTGTCAGAAATCAACCAAAAATAAAATGATGTGGCCGTTGATTAAAGATCTCAAAGTCTGTCACGAGAAAGACAGACACATAAAACGGACTATGGAGATTGGGTTAATTTGGAGAGAGATAAATGGAGAGTGAAAGATATAGAAATCTCACAGGGCAAGATGAGGGCAAGCGACGAAGAAGACTAAGAATGAAGAGGGTGGAATGAACGGCCATGGGCGATTGACGCCATCCGAATCCGTTCCGGCAGCTGTGGAGATTGAGAAGTGAGAAGAAGAAGATGGAGCTCAGCTGCACGATTACTATCAGATTCACAATTGCAGGGTTTACAACTCTCAAAATGTCAATTTTGCCCCATCTAAAAGACCCATGTACCAACAAAACCCATTAGGTTTCAATTTTTTCCAGGTCTTAAAAACCCGATTTAAAGCGGGTCCATTGGCTTAATGGCTAAAACTAAATTGTTGAATCAAATTTTTTGGGGAAAATGACATTGAAGGCCCAAAAAAAAAAGTAAATACAATAGGTTTGTATTAAATATTGGATATAAAAACACGGACACGTTGTTGTGAAAAACTGAACCTTAATTATAAAATTATTTTTAAAAACCTCAACCAAAATTATAAGTTAAGATTCAGTTTTTTACAACATATCTGTATTTTCACAATACAATATTTAATGCAAAAATTGATAAGCCTTTATTATAATAATCTCTTTTGAAGGTCTTGAATGTCATTCTCCCAATTTTTTTTTATTGGCAATGATCTAACCATTCAAGCATGAAAATGCTAGGTTGAAAGTGAGTCGATGGTAGACAACTCGACAAGAGGTAGTTGTGGCTGGATGAAAAAAGTGGTTGTCGCTAGAATTGAGATACAAGTGAGGGCCTAACCATAAGACCAATTTCTTATTTTTTTACTTATTTTTTAAGGCTTGGCCCTGTTTCTATTTTTTACCCATTTTTTAAGACCTAGCCCTTATTCAAAGAATTCAGAGTCAGGCCAATAGTTCTATTTAAAAAATTTAAAATAAAATTAAATATATAAATTAATTAAAATATTTTAAAATTTAAAATAAAAACAAATCAAGATTCCCATAACATTCAAGAAATTAAACATCACACTCTAGAAGACTATATAATTAGAATATTCATCATTCAAATTTAAATCCTCCTCCTCATCGTTATTTATAAATAAATATTTGAACCCGATTTTAAAGTGAAAAATATCAAACCTGCACAAATCATTTCATTTCAAATATAAATAAAATGTTATTTTCATTGCAAAATCTGCACATATTCACATCCTAAACAACTTATTAGGTATAACTAGATTAAAGAAAGTTTCAGAAATCAATCAGACTCATGACTGAAACATAAATTCATGTATATGATTAGCTCATAAACATCAACACGTGCTTAAGCTGGTTTGGCAGCTTGACCCGATGAAGGAAAGGCAAGTTATATTATTTTTATAGAGACTGATTTTACAAGTGACATGCAAATGTTTAATAAAGCAGAAAAAAAAACATACATGAATCCCTTTATAAGATAATGTATTAATTGCTCCATGAATCCTTGTTCTAAATGCTTTCAACAGAGTAAGCTAACACAAGAAATTTGGTCTCTACCCATTTTGTAAATCTCAATTAACATTTGGTGATTCAGACACACAATTCAATCACCCAATTGCTTTGGGTGTTGATGAATCCTTTATCATCTTCTATCTACTTCTGAAAACTATGCCATGTTTAACCACCACCAAAAAATATATTTTTATTAAAAACAAAATGGAATTATTATGAATTGCAATCCACTGATGTCATTCTTGCAGCCCTACAATAATTTTCAGCCATTTTATGCCACTGCATTTAATCGTATTCTATGAGAGTGCCCTATTTTAAACAGAAGTTGTGAAAGTCTTGTGAAAGTTTCTTTTTTTAATATTGACAACTATTTTTTACAACAATCTTATCTCTATCACAATCCATTTTCTGCACCTTGCTTAACATTAAAGAGACAGGGAACAAAACATACCATGAGGAACAATAGCGAGCACTTGAAGCAACTTGTGGCGGCAAGTCCATCGAGAGCACATAGCAATCCACTGTCTAGATGGAGCTGGCCGACAAGTGAGCATAGTGAGGGAAGAGAGGGCAATAATCTGAGGAGACAATGGGCAAGACCACCATGAGTCTTCTGTCAAGATCGAAAGATTGAGATCTAAAAGGGAGGAAAGGTTGAGCTATTGAGATGAAGAAGAATAATAGTTGGCCTAGACTAAGTCCAAGAGCGTGGAGAAGAGGAATGAATGACAGTCTGCAGAGCCTTGTGGAGCTAGTTTTCTTTGGCCAAAAAAAAATGATGCTCGGTCTCTTTTCTTATACACAGTGCGTTTTGATATGTAAAGGAAAAAAAGAAAACAAGTCGCCAGGACTCTAGGCTCTAGCCCTTTTTTTAAAGGTTTATCAAAGTCAATTAATTTTGCAAGTCCAAACTCTTATTTTTATAAGTTTAAATGGATGACCAGGTTTATAATTAGTTCTATTAGAGATATCAAATAAGGTCGGCCCAACCCGATTTTAAAGGGCCAATGTTTAAAAGGTCAGAGCCTAAACAAGCTAATCCTGTTTAGTTTGATTAGACCTTAAAGTCCTTTTTTGACCAGCTGACCCTAGCTCTCAGAGCTAAAAAGCTAACCCTTAAGGCTGCAGTCCTATATAATTTTTTTAAATTTAAAAATTTTAAAAAGTTATTATACATAACATCAAGTCTAAAAAATAAATTAAGATAGTACACACAATAATAAATTTAACTCTAGTCAAAAGTAGCAATATCACAAAATTAACACTGATAATAATTAAACTTACTAACATCATTAGCTAAATTTTAATAATGTTTATTGTCATCAACATTAATAAAATTTAATCCTTCTTCTAGTAGAGCCTCACTAGTGGTAAAAATATTAAGCTTTTCATATCTTCCTTCTTCTTCATAATTATCTACAACAAATAATAAACCAAAAACATAATTTCAATATATTTAAAATATGCAGAAATATTTAAAGTAAACCAATACCAGTAAGTTATCTTCCAATTCAAAACCATGTAAGGAGCGTGAATGACAGAAATCAAATGTCTATGAGGGAGGCAAGCTAGAGTTTTTCATTTTCTAATCCTTTTACTTCATAGTGTTTATTTTTATATTAAATTTGAATATATATATATATATATATATAAAAGAATGTAAAAGGGCTGACCCTAACCCTAAAAGATTAATCTTTTTATTTTTAAGTTTAAAAACCTAATTTATTATTTTACCCTTAAAAAAGTGGCCTAATTTTATTTTTTTAATATTAAAAGAATCGGCTTGATTAACTTGATTTTAATTAATGACTCTAGCTATAGTTGCCGCTCAATGATAAGTAGAAAAGTGGTGATTTTCCCAACGAGGACGAAACACGGATGAGAAGAAGTTTTCAAGGAAATGAAAAATTTCCATGAAAAATTTCCACTTCGTCGGTCATAGATGATGGAACCCATTTTCTAGAATTTTGTTCAAAATTTATCTTTTAAAAGTCAAAAACCATATTTTATCCCAACCAAACAGGACAATGGACTTTTCCATTTCCTGTTTCATTTTTTAACTCTAATTTCAAGCGAACCAAACAAGGCTGAGAGACAGCAGAGAAAAGAGGAAGGTGGATTTTTTTTTTTTTTCATTGCATCGTCAACGCCCGCTATGAGAGGAAGAAGGTAAAAAGATTGATATTTTCATTTAACATGGTTACTCATTTCAAGATTTATATCTCAAGTTTTAAAATAAATTTATTTAACTTTTTTAACCAATTGAAGTAAGCATTCCTAGATAAAAAAGTGGGATTAGATTTTTGTAAAATGAGATATTAGATTTTTTTTTAGCTAAAATGCGTGTTGGATTTTCTTTTCAATCGTCTAGTCTTAATATTTTTAATTTTAAATAATTTTTTTGTATCAATTATTATTATTTTTAAAAATTATATTTAATGTATTGATATTTAAAAATATTTTATTAATAAAACTAATAATGTTAGAGTTAAAAAATTAAAAAAATATTTTATAAAATTAAAAAATTAAAGTGAAACATTATACAAAGTTAAGGCATTAATGAGATACTTTTGCCATTTTTTTTAACAAGATATAAAGGTAGTACATTGAACATATTTTGTCCATTCAATCTAATTTTATGGTGGTTCTTATAATAAAAATAAACTCAAAAAATTCTTAAATAAAGTGGGTATACTACTTTATTTATAGTTTGACTTACCAAAACATAACACCCCACAAGATTTTAATCTGAACTAGCACTCACTTGGCATTTATTTTATTTATTTTTTTTGGAAAATAACTAAAATTCAATTTGAATGGATTATTTTAATCTTTTTTCATCAACCCTCTCCTCTGCATTGATGGCTGATCGTTCTCACAATCATTTACCCCCTTACAGTCTCATATCTCAACCTCTTTAGATTTACTCCTTATCTCTATAATAACGATTATCCCTCATCCAATATTATAACAACCATTAATAATCCCAACCTCATCACATATCTCAATTCTTGAAGAATACAAATAATTCAAAAAAAAAAATCCAAGTCTAAATTAGTGACAACATCCTGGGAATTATATAGGATTAGGAAGAAAATTGCGTGAAATTTAGTTTTAATAAGAGGAAGCCCATGATTCAAGGAAGAAGAGATGACAATTGTCCAACCGAGCAAGTGACGTGTGTAGTTGAAGGCGACACCAACTATAAGTTGAAGGCTGACCACAAATAAGACAGTGCACCCAATTTATTTAAAAATTTCTCAAATAAACTCTTATATTATAATGTAATTTTTTCAAAAAGAATTTTTAAAATATCAAACTGGACCATATTAAAAAAATATTTAAGATTTTCTATCCATAGACCGAACCAAACTATATGAATCCAAATTTTAAAAACAATCAAATTGAACTGAATACTAGAATATGGTAAAAAGAAAAAAATACTACTATAGGCAAGAAAACAAGCAATGCCCATTGGGCCAGCCAATTTAAGCCCAATTAAGTGAATAGCCAAACTTACATTTTAGGTCGGCCAATACTAAAGTTAGGGTTAGGCCTGAAGATCCTATTTAAATAAGAATTCAAGCTTTAAAAATTAATTTTTTTTAAAATAATTGAGTTTGAGGATTTGATTCTAATAAGCCCTGTGAAAAAGGGCTCGAGTTAGGGTAACCTTTCAAGCCTTTATAAGCCTAGTTCTCTCTCTCTTACACACAATTGACCATGATACAATTTAATTAATATTTATTATAGGTGATTTCAACAAATAGACCTACATCTAAGGTATCTAATATTTTATTTTTAAATGATGATGAAGAAAATTTAGATTTATATTGTTGAAGATTTTAATCTTCATTTTAAATTTAAAATTTTAAATCTTTGCCAAATTTTATGTGAGACTTTAATATGTTTTATGTTGGATTTTAAAATAATTTATTTAAATTAAAATGTTAGATACTTTTTTTGGAAAAGAGGGTTTAAGGGCCTGGCTCTGAGCCCTTTAAATATTGGTTAGGCCTCAAATTGGATTAAATTTTGCGTAATTGGATTTTAGGGCCTGAGCCCTTAAGAGTCGAGTCTTTCTTAATTTTCACCTCTAGCCAATACTTAATCAAGCTTAAACACTAAAAAATAAATAGCTTGACCCTCTCATATAAATGGCTTACATTTGAGGACTAGCCTGTTTAAATTAGTTTATATTTTTAATATAAAAATGTATTAATATTGAATAAATTAAGATGGAGAAGATTCAAATATGAAAGAAAATATTTAAAAAATAAAAAATAAAATCCTACCCTAAATAAAAAACATAAAATCTTGATATTTTTCTCACTAAAAAGCTAACTCAAAGTGAAATGCAACCAAATACCGTTGATATTAAAGATGATAGTGATGATGATCATCACGATGATGCTTCTAATATTATGGTGTTATTGTTTTCTTAATATATTTAGAGAAGACTTGTTTAACTTACTTAGATTTATTTGGTTGGATTTTGTGTTTTATGAGTTGATATTTAATATTTTTTATTTAATTTATTTTATTTTCATATATTTAATTTAAAAAAATTAAAAGGACTTGAAGCTTGTAGAGTCAACTTTAAGCCTGTGAACTAAGGGTGTTCATGGGCAAGTCGGACCAGGCTAACAATGAAACCCAAAGCCTGACCCTAAATGTGGATGGGCTATGTTTGTTAGCCCGATGCCTGATCATGCCTGAAGATTGCTCGAGATTTCTAGGGTCGAGCGGGTAGGGTTAGGCACTAGGGCAAAGCCAGGCTAATCCATCCTCTAATTTTTTTTTTTTTAAAGAAGTTCGGTGCTTTGAGCCTAAAACTATGAGACTAAAATCATATAAATGGAAGGAAAATGGACCCATTTAAGCTATACGTATACTTGCAACTGAACCTGGAGGAGAAGCAAAAAATTTAAATAAAAAAGCAAACAATGATCTTAAAAAGCCAACGAAAATATGATCCTGGAAGCAAAAAATACTGTAAAATTAGATTTTGGAAGGGAAAAAAAATCAAGTGAAGGAAAAATTATAACTACAAATCAGACCTAAATACAAACAACATGAAGGAAAAATCAGACTTGGAAGCAAAAAATATATAACAAAAATTAGACCTAAAAGCTAAAACTATATAGCCATAATACAATCATTCATAAACTAAGGCACAAATGAGGGGGGTGGGGACAGTGAAATGGCTAATAGATAAATGAGTAGGAAAAAAAAATTAGCCCCGCCGCATCTCCCAAAATAGCACTGCATGCTCTCATCTTTTTTTTTTTTTTTTTTGTATTTTATTACCTCAGGTTGGGTCGGGCATGATTGTCCAGTACCTTAGCCCTAACCCGAACCTTGCCTGATGATTAAACCTAGCCTGACCATGCCCGAAAAACTTCAGGCATCTTTTTCTTCTATTGAGTTGGGCATTTTTTGGTCGAGCTGGGTCGGGCGGTTCGAGTTTTCGAGCACTCTAAACACCCCGCTGTGAACTCTATGCCCAAGTTCTACAAATCAGTGCCTCAAAATAGAGATGACTTTTTCAAACTCAGTCCTTTCAACCTGTCAACGGGCAACTATTAAGGTGAGGTTGCCTGCTTTTCTAATTTTAAATTCTAAAATCATTTGCATTCAAACACGATTGGGCTGAAACCCAAAACCAAACACTGGGTGCCAAAGAGAAGAAAAACATTAAATCCCATAACAACTCAACAATAGAAGCTAAAGCCA